CCTTATGGTACAGCTCGGGAGCAATCCTCATGTAAAGGTTCATGTCCAGCTCATTGTGGTAAGTAACGAAAGGACGAGCCACAGCACCACCAGGGATGAGGTTCATCATAGGGGTCTCAATCTAAAAGGTTTCAAAAAGAGTGTTAAGAGGATGTGTGATTAGTAATTTTCAAGACAAACTGTTTCCAAACAAACTGAAGATATTCAGTGTGAGATATGTGACCCAAATTCTCACCTCTAAGAATCCAAGCTGGTCCAGGAAGTTACGTAAGTATGTGATGATTTTGGCACGGGTGATGAACTTCTGTCTGACATAGTCATTGAGAATCAGATCCAAATATCGCTGGCGGAATCGTGTTTCCTTTAAGGGACAAAGGGTTTGAATGGATGCTGTAATCTTTAATCAGAACTAATTCACAAAAGATCTCATGCTGGGATGTTGTTGAGAAAACGTTAAAAGCTTTGATTTAATAAAGAGGAACTAACTGATCAGCAGAAATGAACAGAATTTCATGAAAAGGAAAGTTCACAACATCTATATTTGTTGAATGGTACAGATAATGTAAATATAATGTGTTTAAGGAACAGTGGTTGTATGTTAAGCTCAAACTTCAGGGGTGCTGGAAACAATGGAATCCAATAAAACAGGTAAAGTTAAAAGCTACTACACCAATCAGGTTTGAGCAGATTTTTTACCAATGGGACGTTTACCACAGAAGCATGTGTAGCCCATAAGAAGTTTCAACAGTAAACTCTCCTCTGTTAGAACACACCCAGAGCAAAAAGTCAACCAAGCAGTTTAGGCCTCTTCATGTTCTGTTGTAACAAAAATACTTTTTAGCAGGAAAGAAACCTTACTTAGATCAAACTTTTGAAGTAAATAAAAAAAATCCACCATGAATATCAATTAGAATATCATTAAATACAACTTTTGTCAGCAGAATAGTGAACATTTAAAGTGGCAGATGGGGCATTTTCATGACTGCAACAACACATTTACCTGTTAACACTATAAATTAATTGCTAGACAGGCAGAGTTAAATTTCTAATATAACTCAAAAATGTTGTCTCAGTGTTATTTCACTGGCCATTTAGAATGACTCATTTATAACCTTATTTATAACAAGCTTTAAAAAAGAAAGAAGACTTCATTATCACTTGGTGCTGCATGTATTAAATATATAGAGACATAGAACTTTTATTTTGTTGTTGTTTCTTTTAAAAAAGAGAACACATACTAAGAGTGAAACCGAAAGGCATTATTTACCTTATCTTTCAGGCCAAAGTGGAGATGGGGCAGCATGTGCAAACATGGTGAAAGTAAGGTCATCTCAATGGGAATGATACTCAACTCCCCTTTCTTAGTCTTCCCTGGGTTACCACGGACACCGATGATATCACCACGTCGCAGTTTGTTATTAATGGCCACAAAGTCTTCTTCAGACTTGTAGTTTCTACCACACAAAAAGCAAAAGTGAAAGGAACATTTATGTTGAAATCTGAGTATTGTAGTCCAAGGTTCCAACTGACAAACATAACAGCCTGTGTACATTGTTTTCAATAATAGTTAAAACGCTACCTTGAGTTGGCCATAACCTGCAACTTGACTCCTTCACCTCGCAGGTCGTAGAAGAGCAGCTTGGCTCCAGAAGCTCTCTTGGCATGGACACGACCTGCAGCACAGTTTTAAGACTGAGACATTAGGAGCAGACTAAATAGCAAATATTTTTAAGATCCTTAAAAATATTCTCAGTACCTGTCACATTAAGAACAACATCAGACAGCTGATCTCCAGCCTGTAGATTATTGTACTTCTCAATGAACTCTGTGAGTGACAGGTCTACATGGTATTTGTGTGGGTACGGATCCTCTGCTGTGCCCTTTAGCTCCCCGATGGCTTGGGAGCGAATCTTGAAATATTGCTACAATAAAGGAAAAAACGCATATGATTGTTGTAGGTCTTACAACTACAAGTACAAAACAGGGATAAATAGCCATGCACAAAAACTTACATTTGGGTCAAGGGACTCCTCATCCAGTCCAGCGGCATTTTCAGCAGCAGGGCCATTTGACTCCTTTTTTTGCTCCACCAGGTCCTTCACCTTAGCTTCTTTCTCAGCAGCTTTCTTCTCAGCTTTCATACGCCTCTTCAGCTCACTGTTAAAAACATTTGAAAACAAGACAGCGTTGACCAACAAGTCATGCACTTTAAGTTAAACATTTGCAATTTTTCATGAAAGTTCAACTTACAATGAATATTTGCCCAAATTGTTAAAGTGCAAGGAAGTCACATTTATTGTCTCTTCTGTTAAATGAATGAGTGTAATAATTTGAAAACAAAATTAAAAAGGAACCACACTGACTGTGATGACAAAAGGTTGGTTGTTTTTCTCACAGGAATGGAAAAGCCACCAACCTTTTGTCACCTCTCCATCGGTTCCCATGAATTTGAGTTGGGATTGTAGCCATACAGGGGGGTGTACGTTTATACCACTGTCCCCTGATCACATAGGCCTGGCACAGCTGCTGCCTGGCTGCTCTGACCAGACACAGCATGCTGTCTAAACTGACTCGGTCAGCAAGCAGACCTGTGGAAATAGACAGTGTGTAGACCAATATATTGTGCAGGTTGACTTTGACAAATCCTGGACAGGTTTAAGCCAGCAACAACACATCTTAAATGATACTAAAAAGACTTTAGAGGTAAGATCTAGCTTTATCATTACACGCGTTTGGTAAGAACAATTTCACCCTTGCTAACACTTACTGCCTTCAAGTGATGATAAGACAACATTTATTTTGATGCTGGGTGTACGGGCTCAAAACGTCACATTAAATACTTAAAAATAACGTAACGTTTGCGATTATGGCCATTGCTTTAAATTATTCTCATGTCCATTCGAAAACGAAAGCAAAATTCACATATCTCTTTTTATCACAACCCGTTGGAGTTTGTAGTTTTAGTCGTGTAGAAAATACATTGGGAAGAGGGGCAACGTTTATTTAAAAAGACTAGTTTCCAGGGACCCTAACAAACTGCATGATGGGATACACAGGCTAACCACACACATCCATATGGAGCCATCACTAGGCTAACATCTTCTTACCTGATGCAACATTGAACGATACAGTAGAGACTCATTTAAACGGTCACTGCAGTCCAAAACATACATTTCTATAAAATGTAACAGTCAGGACATAAGCGTATTTTATTTGTGACAGAGGAAAAACGTCGCCTTACTTTTTGCTGAGTTTATCTCCGTCTACCGCTGTCACCTCGGCCATGTTGCGTGTGCTTCCTTCAGAGTTCTAAGGAGCATGCGTACGCCGCAAAAACGCGAGAAATGGGTGGTGCGTTCACGGTGCTGCCAATTGTATCGTAAACGAGTTTATCAATCACTACTCGTTACTTTCAGTTATGTTGTGACATTTTCTTTACCGCTCGATAAGTTACTTATACAATTAATTAAAGTGTTTTGAGTTCTGAAGCCTTATTTGTATAGGCAACGTAGAATAATACAAAAGAAAACAAGAACAAGCCATTCATCCTATTAGATAGGTAGATTGATCTTTATTAATTAAGCTCTAAATTACTTTTGTCATTATTAATTTTCTAGATGAAATGAGTTAAGTATATGAGAACTGTAAGCAAGAATTTAATTTTAAAAAAGGCAGAAAAAACAACCATACAAGCACACAAAAAATGCAATGTTTTCACAAAGAGACATTTACATAATACATTTTATTTCTGTTTGGACTGCCTTTAAAGCAATTTCAACATTTGTTGAGAAATAATTTCAACAAGTGACATAAATAAAAGAAGAAACAACATCCAATTTGCTTCATCAGAAAAGGCTATATAGAAAAATATATATTAAAAACTGACAGATCTACATTTACAGTATATTAGCTGCATAGCAGTTTTTGAGAAAACGTGTCTGCATCTATGTTGGTCAAACATTAATGCAACATATACTTCAGAACAATCAAGTTCATATGCATGACAGAAATTGCCCAAGACACTTATCGACCACAAGCACATTCTTGTGGTCACTACAGTTGAGCCTTAAAAGCACGTTGGTAGGCCAGATGAAGTGGTCGCTAAATGAGATGGAATCTGAGCTTTCTCGTTACCTCTATGGGCATGTTGGTCGGAGAACAATTTAACACTTTTATCATCTCCTCAAGGCACATCTTCAGCTTATATTAGAGTTTAAAGTGACTTTTACAAAAAAGAAGAAAAACCCTGTGTGGCAAATGCTGTTGTTACAGTAGTGGACAGGAGATTGTTCCACTGCAGGAAACAGAGACAGTGAATCCAGATAACCTTTATCCATGCCTCAGCACAACATACAGTTCACACTGACTACATACAGAGTAACACTTTTTTTAAAGTGATCTGTTCCAATGATGTAAATAGACGCATAATATTATTGTATTTAAAATAATTATCTTCACAATGTGTGCTTTAAACATTCTGCCTCTCAGGAAGACACCCGTAGTCAGATTAAAAAATACTGTACCTAATAGCTAAATTAAATTCTTGGGGCTATTTATTTTATTCTAATTTGTAAATGTTTCCATTTTTTCTGGGTATAACAGCATAGTTAAATTAAAATATCAGCAAGAGCAGTTCTTTTACTATAGCCTTGAACAACACTACCATGAACTGTACTTAGAAAAAGCGACCTAGGCCAATGGTTTTAGTCCTTTGGATAGATCTCAACTGTGCTTGTTGTTTCAGTAGTCAATCCAAATTAAGACACATCTGCAGTAAAGTAAAGTCCTTGGTGGACGCTAAATGTGGCTGACATTGACTGCAGGCTACTCCAGTCAAAAATAACACCTTCTCTTATGCTTTATCTTCACAATGGGACCATAACTTACAAAAAGGTTCCAATGTATTTAATTTAACAGCAAAATGAGAAGAAGAATAACATTTCTTGATGCTATAAAACAACTGAGAAGTTTTCCTGTTTTCTCTGGTGAGCTTCAGGGCTTTACTTTACAGACAGATGCAACCATTTATATATGTAATTACTGTATATATATATACCTTCTGACAGTGTTGCAATTTAAAGACAAATTTACCTTTACAACGGTGTAACTCCACATGCACAGTAATGTACAGTCATTAGTAATCACAGTGTAGGAAATTAAATTCATGATGCAACAAATCATCCATGATTTTAACGAATAATTAAGGATATAACCAACACACTAATAAATTAGGCACACTCCCAACACAGCAAACACACACACACACAAACATCAACAGAAACGCAACACACATCAACAAGTCATAAACTGAGAACAGCTTTTCCACTTCTCAAGATGAAGAAAGATATTATCTCCCAATTCAGGTTTCTTCAGGTTTAAGGTCCCTTTAAACACACATACAACTCACATTTGTCAAGTCCACATAATCTCCATCATTAAACCAAAAAATCCTGCTATTATATTGTTAAAGTGTATCTAATGTAACTGTGTTTCTGACCTGTTTTCAATAATCAGAGTAGATAATGAGGAACATGAGACCTGGGATTGAGCTAGTTCTGCCAACATTAGAGACCAGCCCCTTGTTCACGCAAACAGAGTAAAACCAAACATACAAAAAGATCATAATAAACAGAAAGAAACACAGACAGCTGGACATAATCATGGAATCTATGACTAAAACTGGGAAAACGAGCCTGCCTACGCTTTCCTTAAGGCAAAATGCAGAATGCAGAAAAACAAAATCCTCATGAGTCAATACAAATCAATACAGCCTCTCATCAGGAGTCACTTGGGGTCAATTGTTCCTAAAACCACTGGCCAACTGCAGAGAACACAGAATCATTACAACTTGCTTGTTTATACAAGAAAACTTGTAAATATATCGCACTTTAATACCGTAGTACAGATGAGATGCACAATGAACAATCTAATCCTAACAAAATGCTGCTTATTTTCAACATTCCCTAAATTCACATCATATTATTACAAATGGTACAAGGCTCTTTTAAAGCACATTCAAGAATACTATTCCAGATCATGCGTGCCTGACGCAAATTAAAGCAAATGATTACTAATATTATAGAAATATTTTTTTTAAATACTATTTTTCACACTATTCTCTCTAAATAAATGTATGTGTAAATAAAAGTTAAACTGATAACCACTGTAATGACGATATTTCAGAAGAGGAATTGGATCAACATTGTCTTGAATTGTCCAGATTTGTAATAAATTAAATATCAGAGGATTTTGGAATGAAAAAGAAATGTAACATGGCTGGCTATCAATGACACCAGCTAAAAAATATATAGGTATATATCAGATTAGAGATGTTCTCTCAGAGCCTGTACGTTGGCATAATACTGCCATGCAAACATGGCGGGAAATGTATCCTGTAAACGGTAATAAAATCACAGAAGGGCCACCTCTGCTGCGACCGCTGTTTGTCACATTCTAGTATCACCTTTCTGTGAATTTTATGAACCCCAAATAATATGAATGTCAACCTAAACCTTGCTTCAGTCCATCTAGGGTCCACATGGTAACTGCATACACTCAATGTTATTCTACATATGTTTATCCTTTTTTTCCTCCAAAAAGTGTTTCTGGGTGAACACTTTGCTGGATTTAAAGTTTCTAATTTTCACAGTTTGTGACCTAATCTGCCCACCACATCGACAGCTCTGAACTGAACAATAAATATTCCTTGCAGGTACCGTTGCACCAAACATTTATATACCAATACTTTAGCACAGCATCTGATCTTTTTTCTGATCACATGTTGCACTAGTTTTACCCTAATTGTCTAATCGATTTAACTTCTCAACATCCTTCTGTCTCCACAAATCCAATTTCCATTCACTATTCCTTCTACACTGTTGGAGAGGGATTTTTTAAAATCCCACCCTATCAACAATGGTAACTTAGCACATCTTTCTAGCCTGGATCTGCCTCTAACATTCGTGCTGTACCACACACACTCCCGTCTTCATACAACAGAAAAAAACCCAAACAAAACAAAGAGGACACTACTGACGATATAGAAATCGCTTCAGAATACAACTAAAAAACAAAAGTTGGTAACACAACTGACTAACTGACAAGAACATGTATTAACACAAAGTAAGATGGAGGACAAAATTACAATTTTATTCTACATCTTACCTTATTAGTATTATTGTTTTTACATAAAGTAAGATACAGATAAAGATTGGTCTAATTTAAATTAATTTAAGTTTGTCACAGACCTGAAAAAATATATTTTTTTTTTACAAAGATCATTCAGTCATTTATAGTTAGAGACATATCTTTCTTTGGTCAACTGGCTGGACTAAAAACCTACCAAAGAATATGTTCTCTACTTTGTCTTTAAAATTATTTCCTCAAATCCTCAGCTTTGGGGAGGGGGTAATTGAAGTGTTAAACAAAATATTATTTTGTGACACTGTCAAAGCCACTGCCACTCTGATTGTCTCCTAAATGTTGTTTTTATTCAGGGAAAAATAAATATTTTAAATGTTAATAGATCAGATTAGATCAGCGGTTCCCAACCTTTTGTGTACCAATGTCTAGATCGGCCAGCATCAGCCATTATTGAAGGATCATTCAATTTTCTAAATAAAACATCTTTTAGACTTTACTCTGTTAGTATCTGCCTTTAAATTACCTATCATTTGATAGGAAAAAAAATAAAGGAATATGACTGGATTATTTTTGAATGAAGTAAATTAGTAAAACTGAAGTATGTTTTTTCACTGTGTCCCACTGCGGCCCGCTACCAAATGACCTACAGGCGGACCCCTGGATTAGATAGTACTTCATTAATCCCTTGGGAGACCCCCTTGGGAAATTAAGGAATATGAGCGGGTCAAGGTGTTGCTGGACTCCTGAAGGCTCACCAGCAGGTCATCCATCTTCTCCATGTTCTGTGGACCAGACATGCTGTTCTGCACAGTCCTTGGCTGAGACAAGGATTGGCTAAGCAGGTTCTGGATATGCACGTCATTCTCTCTTTGGTTCTGACTTGACTGGCTGATGGCTATGATCTGATCAGAGACTATGTTTCCAGGAGTGTTCATGAGCTGGCTGCATCCTGCAGGCAGAAAAAAGACCAGTGAAATTAAACAGGACCTATTGTGGTAGTTTGAAAGAAACACAAAGTGAACACAGGGTGTATACGCACACACACACATCATGGAACTTCTATAACAGAAGTGCTATCGCCTTTTTTGCAACAATGACATATTTTGGTCACTAGGGGGCAGCAGAAACAAGTTGAGAACACAACACCCACCTCCCCTTTTCAGTCACTCCATAAGCAGTTAGTTTAGAAGAAAAGCAGTGCAGACTCATAAATGTTTGCTCGGCAATTAAAAGCTTCATGTTTGATGTACAAGTATTTAATTATTAACCCAAAAGGTAATTACCACCACCTTATGGAACACTAAAGAAACCATGTGACAGTCAACTCAAGGGCATGCACAAGTGACCAAGTGACAAATGACCTTCTTACCATTCTGAAGCCCAAAGAGGAAAAGACCAGGTTGCTGTGGCTGACTGGGCGGATTAAGGCTTCCACTCACAGCAGTCTGAAACATAGTTCCTGGCCGTTGGACAGAAGACGAGGTGGTTGTCTGGAGGTTTGCCACACTGTTCTGAGGGCCAAACATGGCCGACTGTGCCAGCTCCTGAGCTAGCCCCCCCTGCAGTGAAGACATATTGGACTGAGGCATAAAGAGACCCACAGGTTGCTCCTGCTGACTGGCTGAACTACTGCCCAGCTGCATAGGCTGCTGTTCCTGAAACAGGACTTGTCGTTGTGAATGAGTGGGATTCCCCAAAGCCATTGGTTCAGTTCGATCCTGCTGGTTTACCGTCACCATATTTGACTGGGAAAAGAGCATAGCAGAGTTTTGGGATTCTTGAGTCACTAAATTGCTGCTAGTCAAAGGTGGCATCTGGCCTTGGCTGTTAAAGATGAGGCTAGAGGCCTGGTCCGGTGAGGACAGTGTGTTACTGCAGAAAAGGAGACCCGCCTGCTGTTGCTGCTGCCCAGGTGACAGAGTGTTTGTAGATGGATGAAAAAGAGAAGCCTGCTGTGGTGGCTGTGTCTGTGCCTGAGGCTGAGGGGGCTGCTGCTGCTGCTGTTGCTCCAGGGGGCTTATCTGCTGGATTGGTGAGAGTTGGTTCTGGGTCTGAAATACTGACTGTGGCTCAGCGACAGGGGATTGAAGAGCATTAAGGAAAGCAAGCTGTTGCTGTTGATGTTGATTTTGCTGCTGCTGTGAATTGCTGGTTGTGAGCTGAGTGGGCAGAGATGTTTGAGGGAGGAAGAGTCCAGGGTTGGAGGGTTGTTGCTCTGGAGACTGTAGTACTGACATGTTATTTTGAAAGAGAGCTGCCTGGACCTGCTCCTGAGATGCCTTCTGAAACAGAGCCCCCTGAGGATCCTGTGATTCTGTCAAAGGGCTGGGATTGTGGAATATGGGTGGTGATGGGTGAGAGGGTGTCTGCTGAAGAAAGTTGGTTTGGATAGAAAGCAGATTATTTGCCTGCTGAAAAAAGGGTGCCTGCTGCTGCTGCTGGACCTGCTGGAAAAGAGACCCTGGGTTGGAGACCACCCCTTGTGGTGAGGCCTGCTGTTCAATGTTCTTTCCCTGGGACACATTTTGATAAAGACCACACTGCATTTGAATTGGTGGCTGAAAAAGCTGCTGCTGTAAATTATCCAACACTTGTCGCTGCTGCTGATGTTGAAGCTGTTGTTGCTGCATTTGTTGCTGCTGAACTTGTTTTTGAATCGGTTGCTGTTGTTGCATGTGCTGTTGCTGCTGCTGTTCTGACATGGAGTTGTCAGACTGCATAGCTAAGCTACAGAAGCCTTTGGCTTTAAGTTGTCTAACTGCCTCCTCCAGCTGGGTCACTTCATCTGGCTGGAAGAGTGGAAGCTCAGGCTGCTGCGGTGAAGGGTCCACACACAACCTCGCTACACCTCCAGATCCACTGGCTGGCCTTTCCTGGCCCAGACCTTCTCTAGACTCCATGAGGAACTGTTGGGAGCTCTGCTGGAGAAGGGAGTCTGTAGGCATAGAAAATGAGACAGTAGTAGCAATGTCCTGCTTGTGGATGGTGCTTAGGGACTCAGTGTTGGTAAAAACAGAAGCCTGGTTGTTGTCTTGGTCAGCTCCAGCTTGTGACAGGTTGGTGGGAAATGGTCTGTTTGGGTTAAGATGTCCAGCAGCTAAGTCTGTGCTCTGCTGGGCTGGACAAAGGCCTGGAGTCTGCGGGGAACACAAAGTGAAAACCTAAAAGTTTATTTTGATGTTGTCGATGTTGCATTCAAAATAAAGACCACACATAATACTGTTACCAGAGTTAAAAAATGAACTGTCATAACCTTAAATTGTCTCGATGATTGGAGATTGCTGCTCACTTCCATTGGAGTCACATCTTCTCTTTTCACTGCTGGCAACCTTGAGGGAATCAAACCACCATCTAAAACAAAAAGGATTGTTTTTTTTAAATTGTTAATTATTATTTATTATTAAATTGTATTATTCTTAGAAAAAAAGACACTCTGCGCCTAATTGGTAATCAAGAATCTGAAATGTGTTTTGTATATATACTGTATATATATATACACACACATGTTTGTTTGTGTACATTGTGAATAACCTTTAATTGGTTCATCAATAGTACAAGTCTTCACTGGAGAAGATATCTCTTTCTTCACAAGAACATCTTGCTTTACTGCAAAAAAACATTAGCACAAAAATGTTAAACAGTATACATTAATCACCATTTTCTTATGAAAGAACATATATTTTAATTTGTTATTTAGAAATTCAAAAATCTTGAAATGTAACAGAACAGCAAACAGGAAAACAAGAATACAAACCCAGGTCAGGAGTGTAAGTAAAAGGTTGAACATCATGGGATCTGCCAGCATTGGTCATCATATAGACTCCCACATGTACCACAGTGGTGATATTCTGATTCTGATACGGAGGAACCTTTGCGATCAAGTGATTCTATAGGAATAAGAATACAAATATAAAGCACCGACTCCAGCAGTACATCTGCAGTACATGTCAGTCTGTCAGTAGAACTACATGTACACTTATTTATTTTAAGTCTTATTGTGGGTTTTAATTAACATAAACTCTCTATTGTCATGATAATGTCCACTAATGTAAAAATTTAGTAAGGTTACTTTATTTAACGGGTTTTGGTTAAACAAAAGAAGTATTCACCAAAATAACCTATAATTCAAAGGAAGAATTCTGAAAAAAGACACAGAGTTCAGAGTAGTTTAAAATAGTTTACAATAATAGATAAAGGAAACATGTATCCAGCGGTGATAATGCACAGTGTATAACTGTGTGTTATATTTAGGCTGTGTCAACATGGATTGGACGTATGGTAAATAAAAAAGAAAAGCATTAGTCTTTCTGTTCTCCACTGAATAATCTGTCTACCTACACTTCTGTTCTCAAGGCCAAAGGTTTAAAGGAAACTACTGAGGGAAAAAGTACAGTAAACACTTGGAGACCGAGTGTAATTAGGTCAGTACACAATGGGCCCACTCAAACCTTTGAACCAGCAGCCATTCAGATGTATTACATGATTACAAGGCTCACACAAATCTGACTCTATCTTCCCACTTAATTGGCTGCAACTACTGCTTTTAGATGACCTGATTAAATCACACTTTACCTGATGAAAAAGCTCCATGTCGATTTCAGCCTCTGCTTTCCACGAACTATCGTCTGAAAATAGAATGTGTTTTGTTGATTCACAAAAGACAATAATATAAATATATATATAAATTAATACAGAGTTCGTTCAGAGAGAAGTTTTACCAGAAATATTCTCTTGAAATATCACTTTAGTGTCCTTTAGGAAGTTTTTGCCAATGATGAAGACTTCCTCTCCCCCTTGTACTGAGCAACTGTGTAGTGACTTCTTCAGGATTTCTGGCAGCCCTGCAGGTTGGGCTGCAATGGAAGAAGATACAAACAATTCATTTACACTCACTTTACTTTGATTTGACATCAATCAATGACAGATGATGGATAAGGAGAAAAAGAGCCGAGGTTTTCTGACACAGTTTTAGTTTATGCATTACCACTTGATATAACTGACACAGTGGCAGAAACAATCAATGTTTGATTGAGTATGCAAAACCTGAGTGTCTGCCTCCCAGTCTGTAGACAGATAACATCACCAACACACAACACCTTGCCTTGAAACTACAGTGGTGCACAGCTGAGATCAAAATAAGGCCAGAGTTCATGGATAACCGTGTGTCGTTCAACCCTATACATCACTTTCCATTTTTTTACTCAGGATATGATGATGATGATAATAAGTATTCCAGAGTTTTGGTACACTTTTTTGAGGTAAAAAAAATACCTCTGAACGTTTTTTGCACCCTCTAGGTGGCACTGGCAGCCCAAGTTTGGGCTGCGGCTATGGTTGAGTAACACTGCTTTATATTAAGTACTTCACTGTCGGCCCCTTATGTATATGTAAGTATTTGAGCTAAAACAAACCTGATGATTGTATTGTTCTGCCTCAAACCCGACAAATGGGTTAGTACTAAAGGTTAGACTAAAACGCAGAGATGATGTGGTTGAGAGCTGACCTACTCCAACATGTATAATACCCTTTTGACACAGGAGCAGCATTAATAATGATTAAGGTATTTTCTAGATTAAACAGTGTAACTCTCTTAAATAACACAGTAAGCACAAAGAAATGTGTATATCTTTCTTCTGTGATCTGTTATACATGCTAACTGCTAACAGCTATAAGCCAAAAAAGAAGCTGAAACAAACACATATTACTAACTTATTAAATTGTGAGGCTGGATGTAGAGAACATGTGTAAACATTTTTTACACAGATGCTAGTGAACCGGGACAATGGTGCGTCAGATGGATTAGTTGAGCTCCACCTCTAGTTGACTCAGGTGTACTGACGAACAAGAATAAACCCAACCATGGGAAGGCCCACATGGACAATGTTTTCCAATTGGCCCCGTGGTCTTAGAATATCCTAACAAACAAATCACTCGCCCAGCAGTTTGAAACCCACTTTACAACTCTGTATCACACGCAAACAATGTCACACTCTTAGATGAATGCCAGAGGGAATTACTGTTTTTAGTTCTGAGGAAATGTATTTCCCTGGATTGCATGTTTGTGGTGCAAACAATGGAAGTCCCCACACTTCTATTGTTGTACACTTTCCCTTTTTCTCCAATGCCTCTCTCGCAA